GGGGTTACTAAATTTCTAGGTGTTTTTGGAGATCCTTCATTTTTTTTGCAGCCGCCGAGAGGTCTCTTTGCATGGTCGGAACGGAGGAGCGTGACGCCCAACGCGGCCATGGCCACCTTCATGGCACCAGGGTCCTTCTTCACCGTGGTGCACCTGAGTATCGGAGCCTCGGCCGCCTTTGGGGGAGTGGTTTTTTCGGAACGGATGGGATGGGAGTTGGATGCATGGATGTTGGGCACCGGAAAATCGCTTCCGCTCAGCGGCCAACCATCGCCATGTTCTTTTTTTTTCCAGATGGTCGTTGGTCTGGTTGTTTTTGTACCAAGGGAGCAAGGTAGATTTGTCGCTGGCGATCCAGACTGCAGGTCCCAAATGGGTCATGTCCCACATCTTCTCCACATGTTCTCGTCTCTTGTCCGACTTCTTTGATGCCAGTTTTTCCGGAACTCTATGGAACTGCTGCTGCTGCTGCTGCTGCTGCTTCCTTTTTCTTCCTTCACTCACCTCACGCGGTCCGGTCGGCTCGCCAGTCCTCGGTACGGCGACCCGGTTCCTCCACCCGGGTCCGGTCCAGGCCAGCCGGGCGGGGACCTGATGGGAGCGATGCTCTTCGCCGACAGCACGCTCTCGTTCCTGGCCACGCTCGTGCTCCTCTGGGCGAGGCGACGTGGGTCCGTGGCGTTTCCACGGCGGGAGGTTGGTGGTCCGCCAGTGGTGCTTTGAGACGGTTGGGGGAGGTCGAAGCATCTGAGATGGGAAGGCCTTGGTGGTGTGACATGTCAGTAGTGTCCGCAACAAAGAAACACTGGCTGAATGGATCCACGACGACACCCTGAACCTGGAGGTTTGTCGAACATGAACAGATGGTGTGGGGGGTTGGTCTCAATCTGTGATGTCAGATGCATAGCTAGGGGTGAAAGGATGTGAAAGGACAAAAGGGTAAGGGCAAACATTTTCCAGAAGACACTCTTATTTACATACATTTATAGTCGTTCATCTCCACCCTTGAGGTTTCCTTCTTGCAGTTGTTTTTGAAGAGACCAAGTGGGAAGACTAGCGTATCACACCACTGCCTTAGGTTTTCAGGGTTTTCCTCATCAGGGGTTTCTTGGATGTTTCTGCACTGATTGCCAATGGGCGATCACAGGGGGATGCCTTTTCATCCACAAGAACCATGCAAGAGCTATAGCAGCTATACCCAAGTGCGGACTTGACGGATTTCTTCCCAGAATTGGTTATAAATACAGAAAACGGATGGTAAACTAGGGGATCCTCGCAGACCTTCGCTTTAAATTAAACTTTCCACCACTTCTGGGCCAGCTCGAGCAGATCAGGGACACCCCCGAACTGAGACGCTCTCAACATGGGTGTTCACCTCTTTTCACTGAAACTGTGGCGATTTCGCTCCTGTCGCAGTCCCAGCGAACGCCTTGATCCCAACGTCCCAACGGACTGGGACGTCTTCTCCATCAGGCGAGCACTGTGGAGTCGTAGCTTCCACCCCAGCCACTGGGATGAACCGCACGATTCCAGACAACGCCACCGCGTTCCCGCGCGGCACGACAGTTGGGAGAGACCCCTAGCTGCCCTAGCTGGGATCCCTATAGGAGCCCAAATAGAGGACCGGAGCAAAGGCAAGGGAGGGGGGTGGCTCACTCTTGGAATCCCCAAGAGAAGGTGCGGGGAGGAGGCCAGCTCTGCAGCTTGGCTTCTTGTCACCCGTCACCCGTCACTCGTCTGCCAGCGGCGGTCGTTTGAGGGTTTTGCACAGTCCGTCTGCGGTTCCTTGACCCAAGTCCCATTGGATGACACTCCCGGCTCACTGGTCCAATTCCAAACCAGTCTGAACCTTGCACACCCGGTTGCTTGCTCCACTCACTGGTCGACCGAAATCAAACCTCGATCACCCACCGTTGGTGAGCTTGCGGTTCCCAGCTCTGGTTTTGTATGGTTTCGTTACCTCATTCAGCTTGTAACAAGGAGGATCGTGGAAGCGGACAGTTCGTTTGTTTGGGACCAAGATGTCTGAATTTTCCACCTCCATGTTCGTTGGATAGAAAGGTAATGAAAGGTATCCTTCCAGAAATTGGCTTTGCTACCGCAAAAGAGTCCCTGTGGGATGAACTCCTGGTTACCTAACAGATGATATTGGAATGCCGTTCCCTGGCATTTACAATGCACTCACTCTGAGGTCTCCTGAGGTCCTGAGGATTTGATGGGTCCAGGAGCAACCATGGGCCTTTCGAACCCCGCGAACCAGGAGAAGATGGAAAAGCAAACCCACAAAACATGACACCCCGGCTGTATCGTTCCCCCGGATTTGCCTCTGTGTGAAGGTCAATTTGGCAGCATACGTGTTCCGTCTTTTTACCTTCAATTCTCTTTTTCATCCTTTTTCCTTCAGTTCCCATCCAACGCGCCTTCCGTCTCAACCTCCTTCTGGGTGGCCGATTTTTTTGGGCGTCCGAGGCTATGTGTCCTTCACCTTCCCCTTGGCGTCCACGGCCACTGGTGCATTGTTGGTCCCAGACGCCTGGACGGATCAAAGGCTCAAAGGCTTTCAACCGAACAACGCCGGGTCGGGTTCGGGGTTCGGTGAGGAAACCACCCCACCAGCGGCGAACGGCGAGGGCAGGGTAGGTCGGGCATCAGCTTCGCCAAACGCATTCTATCGATCTGGGTGGCCAAACCTAACTAAATCCACTGGCGGGATGAATGTAGACACAAAACTACGTGCCTGCTCCCTTGTCCCTGAGGGTGTGGGGTGAATTGACGGATTGAGTCCGACAGAGCAATTGCAGTAGCAATTGCCTATGCTGCTTTGATGCGCAAGATCCGTTTGATTCAGGTCTTGTGTTGGAACTCCAAGCACAGAGATAGATACATCTGATATCATTTGATAACATTTGCTTTCTCCCCGAAGTTCAGATATCGGGTCCGTCAAGCACAATGGGTTTTGTTTGGGTCAAGACCCCTTTGATCTGGACTCCTCGCTTTGGTAGTTCACCTCCGTTGCAAGGAGCGCTTGCCCTTCATGGCCTCTCCGCTGCTCAGTGCGTATGGCCAACTGCTTCTGTACGTCGCCACGGCGGCAGCTTGTCAACATTCATCCGACATCACTGTATCTACCCTTCTATATCCTTCTCTCCTTTTGCTGTTTGTCTATAATATGAATCGACTCTGTGAATCGAAGGGGCTGAGTTCTGGAGTTCTCAAAGAAAGATGATGTCCAATAGATTCAATAGATTTTGACAGGATCCTAAAGACTGTTTTGGCATCACTGCTAGCTGACATAG